CTTTGCATTTTCTCCTTCCCTCGCTGTGCCTCAGTCTCCACCTGTCAGCTCTGGGCTGTTTCTCTGGCGGATCTTCATTCTAATTAGCTATCATCGCTCTACTTCCTGCCTTCTCACACACGGCCGTGCGGGAGCCTCCGCGTTCGTGTGAGTATGTGTCAGCATTAAGGTTTACACGTTTCATTTACATGACAGAGATGTGCTTCGGTGACTCGGCTACAATATACACAGATAAACAGAGAAAACAAACACAGATGTGGATGTTTGCGTGTAATCCTTTAAGTGTTGAGCCTAATGCTGAGCTTAGTCTCCCTCAGGTGTGTCACACCTGCCTGTCTAAGCTGTGCAGGAACTTCTGTTTGCATGTATTATGATCCTATCAGGTAGAATCCAAACATCAGCGCTTTTGTTTGTTTAACTTTCCTCCCTCTGCAGGTTTCTGTAGAAAAGCCTGATTTTGCTAACTGAGTGGAATGAACTGGGAATATTCAAGCAGCAGCAGCAGACAGTGACGCTCTGCCTGCTGAATGAAGGATTTATACAATCACCTCCTCTCAACTCTGTGGTTTGTTTGAAACAAGGTCAAGCAAAGAGAAAAGATGTTTGGAGGAGTAAGGTTTTTTTTGATTGACTGCATGTTTTATGTATTTTTCTTGTGGATGTTTTGGTTTGGATTTATTTTCTTAAAAGATTTTTTTTTTCAATCTTGAGGTTATTTTTCTTTTCTTGCTCAAACACAAGTTTTCCTCTTTTCTTTCCGTCCAACTTGTTTCCTGTTTTAGAGTTTTGGTATTTAATCCTCCCTTTTATTCTTCGTTCCTTCCCTTTATCCTTCCTTTCTTCCATCTATCCTTCATTCCTTTTATCAATCCTTCCTTCCTTTTATCTATCCTTCCTTTTATCTATACTTCCTTCTTTCCTTTTATCTATCCTTCCTTTTATCTATCCTTCCTTTTATTTATCCGTCCTTCCTTCCTTTTATCTATCCTTCCTTTTATTTATCCATCCTTCCTTCCTTTTATTTATCCTTCCTTCCTTCCTTTTATCTATCCTTCTTTCCTTCCTTTTATCTATCCTTCCTTCCTTCCTTTTATCTATCCTTCCTTCCTTTGATCTATCCTTCCTTTTTGTATCCTTCCTTCCTTCCTTCCTTTTATCTATCCTTTGTTCCTTCCTTTTATCTATCCTTCCTATTATTTATCCTTCCTTCCTTCCTTTTATTTATCCATCCTTCCTTTTATTTATCCATCCTTCCTTCCTTTTATCTATCCTTCCTTTTATTTATCCATCCTTCCTTCCTTTTATTTATCCTTCCTTCCTTCCTTTTATCTATCCGTCCTTTTATCTATCCTTCGTTCCTTCCTTTTATCTATCCTTCGTTCGTTCCTTCCTTCCTTCCTTCCTTCCTTCCTTCCTTCCTTCCTTCCTTCCTTCCTTCCTTCCTTCCTTCCTTCCTTCCTTCCTTCCTTCCTTCCTTCCTTCCTTCCTGTGAATATGATGCATCCTTCCTTGTGTCTCTCTGCTTCTGGTATATTTTCCTGGTTTGTTCTTTAGGTTTCTTCTTGTCTTGTTAACCCATAAAAAAAACTTGCAGAATTAGTCAACACATCTTGAAGAAGCGTTCGACATTCTCCAATTTCACACCTTCAGGTCCGCTTTCAGTCGACCTGATGGGAAAAACACAAACTTTTTTCCTGGATTGTCTGCCTCGGCGGCTACATCTCCTGTACCCCAACTTTCTGTCAGGCTGCTGCTACAAGGGAGCTCACTGAGGTGTCAAAATACTTCCTAGACACTGCAGCATCATAAGGCTGGAACCAAGAAGGAAAATATTACAAAACCTCATCCGAGTATGGAGTTTAAATTCAATTTTTTACTTGTTGTTTCACATTGTGCTTTAAGCTCCTATTAGTTAGCTTCATTGTTGTGTACAGTGGTGCAAAAACTACTTTAACTTTAAAATTTTGTCTTGTTATAACCAAGCCTTAACATTTCTATTCTACAGATTTCTCATCTCCGACTGAATTGAAACTATCTGAATTTTTTTTTGCCGCAGATTCTTTGGTAAAGTTATGTCTGGACTTTGACTAGGCCATTCAAGCACACATTGCTGAGCTGTCAGGGTCCCTATGAATCCAGAATGAAGATAAAAGGAAACGTTCCAGCCTTATTGCAGAAGTTTGCCCCCCTGTTGTAATAAGTTGCAATGACAGAAGAAAAGAACTGCAGCAGACTTCAGTTAAGAGGCGTAATGTAATCCGACGTAAGAAAGCCATGAATATTTTAAGTTGTTTTTAATGAAGCATCATCAAATCTTTTTATCAAAAGGATGGTCATTCCCAGGGCATCTCCATCACACTCCACTTCAGCCTTTTAGTTCTACTAGACAAGTTTTATTTTCTCAGTATAACATGAAGACTGTAATGAGCTTTAAAGTGCACTTGTGGCTGGTCTTTTTATCCATCTTAAAAAAGAAAAAAAACATGGCCTTTGTTGCCTCAGTGTGTCTCAATAAACCTCCAGATGAATGAGAACAAGCAGAGAACTCAGCCCCAGTCCCTCTGCTAAGAACTCACTAATAGAGCCTATGGAGGCCAATAGAGGAAAGCTGGGTTTTAGTTTTTGCACAATTGTAAGGGCATCTATGGGAATGACAACTTTAGATACCACACAAGGCAGCTTTAAATAGACATTATGTACTTTTTTAATAAAAAAATATCTTTAAAATAGCCTTTTTGTTAGACCCTCTATGACTAAAACGCTGTTTGATGAGCAGACCGACGCCTCAGTAGTTCAGCACCAATGCTTCTGTAAGCCTGAAGGCTATTTTCCTGAATTTACTTCGAGTCAGAAGTTTCTGCGCTGTTCCCAGCATGTCCAAATTAAACGGGTCCAACCCAGCAAACAATCAAAGTTACATTCATTTTGTAGATACTGAGAAGCTACCGGCATCCACTTCAACTCAGACACCAATGGAAACTCCACATGATCTAATAAAAGTATAAAAAAACTCCTTGTCAAGTTCAAATGCGAGCTACGTGAAAGAGCTAGCCTCATGAGACCATCTTTATCTCGCAAGCTTTCAAGATTTCACTCGCTAATCAGTCTGCAGACTCTCCATTGAAGAAAATTTGGAGCCGTTCACCAAACGAACGTCCAATCAGCGTTGGCTTTGAGGCGGGTTGAGGTGTGACGCAACGAGAAGCGCGACAGTTCAGTCTAAAGAACATGGCGGCTTCAGCCGATGAAACTAGCGTTAGCATGGCTATCGAGCAAGTTTTATCGGAATTACAGAGTATTTCTTCACTGAAAGAAGAGCAAAACACTGCTCTGGAGGCTTTTCTCAGAGGAAAAGATGTTTTTGCTCTTCTCCCGACTGGTTTTGGCAAGAGTTTGATCTATCAATTGGCTCCTCTTCGTCGTCGCTCTGTTAGTACGTCATATGCTTCGTTGATCTGATTGGTTTATTTGGCCCGTCTATCACTATCATAGGCCAATCAGCTAACCAGTATTTTCGCCCCTTTCCAAAATTACTTTAACGGAAGGTTTCCAGATGGATATGCGGAGTCAGGTTAGGAGGAAGCAGAAGAGTGCTGCAGTTCTGTGTTTAGGCCACAGGTGGCAGTATCATTAGAAATCTCGGTAATACCTCTTTCATATGACTGAACAAGAGAAGACGTCACTAACGTAACTATGTACAATGAACTTGATTTTGGGTCTGTCTGTCTGAGAGCTGAGCCTCAACTCATTCTGATATGTTTACCTGCATTAAAGTGTATTTTGTTCCGGGGTTTGTTTAGGTGATATTCAACAATTTTTGTTTATCTCAGGTAGGAATGGGAATCAAAAACCAGTTCCTGTTCACAACATGGTTCCGTGTGTTCCAATTCCATTGGCACCGTTTGGCAGCTCGCTTAACGATTCTCTTAACGTTTCCAGGCAGCACCTGAGCCTAGCTCTGGGCAGCAACACTTATGTAACGTTTTTTTTTTTTTTTTTTTTACCAGATTTTAACCTTTAATTGACTCCATCCAGCTTCCCAGCATCTGACTAGCTCCCCCTTTCCTGAAGAAAGAGAAGCAGGTGGAAAGCATTCCCACAGCATGATACAGCCACTGCCAAGCTGGGTTGGAGCCTTCGGGCTGATAAACAGAGTTAGTTTTCTTCCAGGGACTCGTTACACCATGCCCAGGGCACATTCTGGGGACCTACAGGGCTTGTGGTGAACGGAATAAGGCTTTGTTCCAGCCCCCTTTCCAACAACAGATTCTCAGGATATTTAGGTTCATTCTCTTTAATCTTCGTTTTTTAAACACTTAACCTTAATTTCCCTTTTTTCTTTGTAATTTTATGCCTGGATGATTCATAAAGGAAAGAACAAGTACCTAAACCACTCTGGGTCATGTTAGATGTGAAAATGTAGAATAATTGACACATTTTCAGTGTCTGATAGAATCCTTATTTTCTCTGGATTTGTTTTACATCACAGGAATCTAGAGGCGATGAACATAAACAGATACTGCAGCAGATTTTTTCCCCACACTGAACAGTTGGTGAAGTCTAATGAGGAAATCTTCTGCTATCCCTCGCCTCCACTCTTCCTCTATTCTCCCTCCCTCTGTTTTTCTTGTGTTTCTTCACCATCCTCCCATTCCTCCCTCCTCCTCCTCCTCCGTGCTTCTTCTTCCTCAGGTGATTTATTGGTTGTCAGGTTGTTCTCTCCTGCAGAGGCTTCTGGGACGCCGTCAAGGTGCCAAGCGGTCAGGTAATGACATGTGTGAGAGTGTGTGTCTGTTAGCGGTATTCAAAGCTGCACGCTCCAAAACGTGTCAGGCATCTGCACACGTGTAAATGAGCGACTGTGAATATCAATCTTCCTAGAATAAATTCATCTTTAGATTAATCACCGCTTTGATTTATTTATCTGCCATTTAATAACCGGTACTGACTCGCCTGCAGACACGCACCACCTGTCGGTGTGTATGTATGTGTGTTCAGACCTGCTTCCCATCCGCCATGTTGCAGGGCAGCAGCAGGACCTGCGATGCAGGGAAGGTGGTCGACAGCGACAGGCAGTGCTGCTTCTGACGGATCTGCTGCCCATGAGTGTACACCCACTCCTGGAGAGAAGGAGACACATTTCACTTATTAATCAACCTGTGCTGCAAATGTGTCTTTATTTCAATCTGAAAAACTCACACGGAAAGAAAAGACAAGTAGAAGAATTTTATTAATACAATTAATCTTTGGCGCTCAGACCTCGGCAGGAAACATTGGCGCTGAATTTTGATTGATATGCATAAACAGGAGTAAAGAACAGGGATGTTTCCCACCAGGCCTGAAACTGGTGGTGAAGTGGAGATAGATGAAGTTGGTCAGTCTGTAGACTGCTGGCAGGTGAAACGGTGTGTTTGAGCTGTATGGAGAGATCCAGTTTACTGCATAAGCTGATACTAGTGCCTAAGTTGTGGAGATGAAAGTCCATGATGAGCAAGCATGAAGCAACAGTGGAAAGAAAAAAACTCCCCTTTGGGAAGAAACCTCTGGCAGAATCAGGCTCAACATGGCGGTCTTCTGCCGGACCGGTTAAGGTGAGACATGGAACGCAGTTAGAGTCCGGGAGGAATGACACTCTGGCCGTTTCTAAATAAAAAAAAAACGTGAGTATGGAGTCGTGTCCTGACCAAGTATGTTCTTGAGAAGAAAACAGGAAAGTATGGACTTGCGGAGAACGGGAGCTCTCCTGCCTACTGTCGTATTTTGTCGCTTTTAAGAATTTGGATAATTAAACTGCAGTTTTGGAAAAGGCATATTTCCTTTTTTATGCATTTGGAGGAAACACCGATAATTAAAAGGTTCAAAACACTTAATTCCTGAGATAAATCAGCTCAACAGGGAATATAGTTGTGTGAGTTCATTTTCACAACAATCATTTTGTAAGAACAAACCTTTTTATTTTGATTTAATTAAATATGAACCGTCTAAACCAGATGTGTCCAAGTCGACAGATGGTTGATGCAGATGCAGACTTCTTTTATCATAGATAAACTTTTTTTTTTTTCTATAAAGGGGCTTTTTGTGTTTTGTGTCATGTGACTTAATTTATCAAACTTTAAAAAAAACTTTAGTTTTCTTTTTAAAGATTTTGTTTGCTTTTCTTTTCTTTTTTAAGTCCCTCAATAATTGGCATACTGGAAAACTTTAATTTTGTGTTTTGGATCTAGGATGATTTATATCCATCTTCTTCCAGCAACTGAACAACCATACTTTTTAAAATTAAAACGCTACATTAAGCTAATTGATGTAGCCTTCATGTAAATAAATTCATATAATTAGTTGTGATTTTTTATTTCTCTCATATTTTTGGGGCCCAGAATTACATTTGAGCTGACAAGTTTGCCAATCCTACCCAAAGTTTTGGACAGAGTTAAATTTTAAATTTTTACATTGTGAAAATTCGCTGCTCCAGTAAAATAATTATTTAGTTTCCAAATCTTTCTTAGTGGTTCCAATTAATGTTTTTATCCTTAATTTAAATCTAGGAATATAATTTTATGCTGATGATACTGTGATTTTCAGTAATCTCCTGTGTTACTTTCCAAATAGACTCTTCATTAAATTTCAAACTGCTTATAATTATTAACTGTCAGGGCTCCAGTCTGTGTGTTTAATTTTGTGTTGTTCTCCCTTCCACCAGCAGGAGGCGCCTGGTTCTGGTTCGCCTCCTCACACACCTGCTGACGGTTGCCTCGTTAACAGAGTGCTCTTAAGCTGCTGATTGCCACTACCTCGACGCCAGAGTGTTTGCCAGTTTTTGGTACTCCAGCCAAGCTGAGTTCTTGTCTACCTGAGTTTTTAACTTTGTTTTTGTCTTTGCCTCTCGGCAGGAAGTCATCCTGCAAACTGGACCTTTTCGGACCTCCACTCCCAGGAGGGATCAACTGAGCCTCAAACCGAGCTGGGGATTCAAACAGGAGGTTTGGATCCAGTCTCCTTGAGAAGACGTTGAGTTTACTCTCTGAGCAAGGGAATCATCTTCACCACGACCCGTTCAAGTACAGCAGGAAATCTAAGTGGCAGTCAGTATCTCTGTTCACCTACACCGTCCGAGTTCTGGGTAAACCCTGTTCCGCCCTCCGCCGAATCAGACTAACTCTGGAAAACAACACACAGGTTGGAGTGAAAGAATCTTCAACTTCTCTGGAAACGTGAGTCAACAACCAGATCCTCTTCTTCAAATCAACGAATGAAATTTCCTACTGAGCCTGAACTAATCATTTGTCTTCCCTTCACCTTCCAGTTCCGGCTGAGCAGAGTTCAGAGCAACACTGCACCGAGCTTAATCTCTTCAATAAAACATGTTAAACATTTTCCACTGGTCTCTCTGAATTGGTTTCTCTGCATTTGTGTCTCATCTTTAGATTAAATCATGACATTAAACTACATTTTGTGAATTTTAAACGACATTCTTTATCTACGTCAAACAGGACAAGGCAAACCAGTAACCCATAGAAAAGGGGGATTGTTTGTGCGTACAAAAGGTAAAGTCAAAAAAGATGGAGCAGATAAGAACATCCTGGTGTCTCTTTGTGACGACCACCTGTGTCTGTCTCTCCCCAGCAGGAAAGTACAGGATGGTTGAATTATCCTCTTTGTGTCCCTATGTGCCGACCCACCTGCTGAGAGATCATTCCACAGAGTGGAAGGCTCTCTGCAGCTTTGCCTTTATGGCAAAATGTTCCACATGTGATGACATCAGAAGGGATTGGTGGAAATCGTTTCAGAAAAATAAAATGTTTAATATAAAAACATGCAGGAAACGAAATCTAAACAATATTTATTTGTTTTACCTCATTACAAGATAACCTATGTTTCATTTTTTTGTTTTCGACAAAACATGTTTTTTTTTTACATGTTCCCCCGCAAAAGAACCCACGTTGTTTTACATTTAAAAACACTGTTATACAAGCGGAAAATGCTTCTTACATGTTTTTACATGATTTATATTTTAAACATGCCACATGTTTAAAATGCTACTATATGCTGTTTTTTCCAGATTTTTTACAGGCTTAGCAGCATAAACATTTTTCTTTCCAGTGTTTTACACAAAGGAAGTGGAGGTGCCCCAGCACCCCCTAGTGGTTAGAGGGAGATTGGAAAAAAATGTATTAAAAATACTTTGCACAAATTATACATTTCTTTAGACTATTTTGGGAAATGATTTGGACTTTTTTTTTATTTTACTATCATGCATATTTGGATTTTTATTTAACTATTTTGCGGCCTAATCAACACACGTTTGTGGAAGTTACGTTGTCGTAGCAACGTCAAGCAAGCTAGTGGTCGCTGAAGAGGAATCCCGCACGGGCTAGCTAGTAAATTTACATAATCTAATGACAGAAACGAGGAGGAAACATGGGACAGAAATGCATTTCAGATTCGTCCGCTCATGAGAGACTTTATCTCCACGACCCCAGAACGCACCTGAACATTTGGACACCTGTAACCAGTGCCCCCTGCCTGTAGCTCAAAGTAAGTGCATTGTGCCGCCGAGCACTTTCATATCTATTCGTGCAGTTTGACGTAATATTACATAGTATTTTAGAGCTTTATTTTGATCTTGTGTTTTTTGTGTAATGGATGTGGAGAACTGTTCAATAACGTCTTAATAGTATAATATTGTATAGTGGTTTGCGTAAAAGCATTTTGAAGCTAATAGATTCACGAGAGACCTAAACGCAGTGACTTCAGGCTCATGCCAGCTGAACAAATCTATTTTGTTATAGTGTAATTGTGAAGTTTAATTAATAGAGCATATATTCACCTGAGAACTAATGATCTGTGTGTTACAGACCCTGGTTGCATGCACTGAAGTTTATATGACAATAAAGTAGTGAATCTCAATCTATTTAATTATTTATTTTTTATTGTATTTTAAATAGGCCTATAGGCAAATAGAAACAGAAATTATCATAGCACCCCCTGTTGAAAATGACTTTACACATGTGAAAACACAAACTTTTGAAAGGGCTTGGAGCATCATTCTCTTTAGACAGTTTACCCTTTGTGAAATAAAAGATGCAATCAACTGGTTCTCCTTGACAGAGACATTGAACCAATCTGACTGTATTGTCTCCGTAAAGTGTCCTGAGATGACATGTACGTGAATCGGCGCTACAGAAAATAAATGAACCGAATTGTATTAAATATGTTTAAGATGCTGTTACAGGATATAACTTTATGCAATATATGTGGGAATCCATGAGTTTTTACATGATGCAGCATCATTTTGGCTGCACAAAACAAAATGTGGGAAACATGTTTTGTGGTTTGTAAACTCAACAAATGTAGTTTGCTACGTGTGAGACACACAACTGTTCAACATGTATTGCCCATGTTATAACAGGATCTACTTTTTGCATAAATAAGATCTGAAGTGTGTTTTTTCCTGTCTTTTGCAGATAACTACATGATGTAATCAGCACTCGAGTTGAGGGAAGATGAGGGGGGATGGCATCCCTCTTCCTTAACAAATCTTTAAAATCATCCCGCTTCTTAAATCACCATCCCCTGTGACATTTTATTACTGAATGTGTACAATTTCTACGATATATTAACAGCGATGGCAATAATGTTGCCCGTGCAACATTTGGTGGGCTTACGAGTAGCCTGAGCAAATAAATAAAATCAAAGAAGTGGCCTAACGTGACTCTGTAAGGTGCCTTAGTCAAGGTCAATGACCGGGGTACCTGACATGTAACAACCATACCATGCATATTGCTTTAGGTTAATAGACCATAGTAATTAGGCTATATATGCTTCTAAAAAAATACACCATCCCCCTTCTTTTTTTTTTTTTTTTTTTAACAACTAGACTACTGGATAATAATACATGATCAAATGTCTAACTTCCACTTAATTTTCCTACATGCATGGGAAACTGCACATGTTCCTGTTAGGTTCAGAAAATGTAGGTTTGCAAAAAAAAAGAGAAATTGAGTCTACACAGGAAAGAGATTCAAGCAACTTCTGCAGGAGCGGAAAGAAAAAGCCAAACCCAACTTCAAGCTTTCTGTCTCTGAATCCTCTCCTGCTGCCGTCTTTTATTAACAGAACATAT